TATCAAGTTGATCTGCCCATTCGTCAAACTTCTTATCATCAATAGAACCATCTTAGGTAAGAATATTGAATTTAGTTTCTGCCTAGAATGTTTGGTGTTGATTTCTGAAAGAAAGCAACAACAATGCCTTCTTTGGTGATCCAACCTCTGGTTATCAATTATTTATCCTTCACTAAGATATGATTCCTTATAATTTCCAACATCAAAATTATTTGTTATAGGAGCATAACTGGACTAGCCAATTAATGTGTTAGGCTGACATTAATACATCAACTCTTCTTCTTCTTCTTTTGAGAGATTTAGGGAAAAAGAGTAGCTATCCAATCTTTTTAAAACCATTTTTTCTTATCACTTTGGTTATAAAGCCGCTCACGAGACATCAAAAGAAAGAGGTCCACCTAACAATTTGAGCAACAAATTAGGGGGCTTGAAAAAATCAATATAAATCAAGATATCTGATTGAAGACAAAATAGCTATTGTTTACCAAAATAAGTAATCAAGAAATTCCAATGGAAAAAAAACTCTCTTCGCTGGTTTCCGCTCTCTTGATCTCATAGAAGCTCATATTTATTACAAAATAAATAATCAAGAAATTACAGTTTACCTTCTTACATGATAAAGTTCTTTATCTTTATCGCATAATTCCAGATCTCACCTCCTCGATAGGTGCTTGATACAAAATCCACATTCCATTCTTTTTTTTTTATCTCATCTTCTCTAGCAATGGATGAATCTATGGTCACTAAATCCCAATCTTCCCTACTCACAATACCGAGCACCGGTTTTCCCCCTTCTCTCAAACTCCTAATGTCTCACCTCAAACACCTCACTCAACATCAGCTCACTACCGAGAACTACCCTATTTGGTGAGCTCATATCTTCTTTGCAAATGGATTTGCTGGATTTCTTGATGGCAGCTAACCTATCCACCTCAATACACTGTAAATGCCAACTCTAACTCAGAGAACCTACAATTTCAGATGTGAAACCTCAATGATCAAAACGTTATAGCCTCGCTTTACTCCACTATTACTCCTTTTGTTCTCCCTTATATCCTACACTTGCAATCCACAATTTCCATAAGGAGCACACTCGGACGCAGATTACGACCGACCAACAGGTTTCAGGTGATCCAGTTGAGGAACAAATTACACCACATCTCAATGAAGGAGAACATTATGCAACAATAGCTCTCAACAATTTGCAGCTCGGTGGATCAAATACAAGCTATTGAATCTACAATCAATGAAGAGTACATAATTCTATACATACTTAATGGACTTCCCCCATCCCATGGTGCCTTCAAAATCTCCATCTGAACTATGTCGCAACCTATTGCACTTGAAGATCTCTACTCGTTACTATGTAGTGAAGACATCAATCAACAAAATGAGAACGCCAAGAATGCTGCATCCACAGTATCCCAGATGGCACTCACTACCTCTCGCAGCCGCACAAGGAATACCTACAGGGGCAGAGGCAGGAATCAACATGGAGGCTCTTCCAATGAATCTTGGGGAGGTAGGCAGACTAATCGCTCACCTATTGTCTGCCAATCTGCAAAATACAAGACACTCGACATCTATGTGTTCGCACTAGACCAACTTAGATTATACTCCTACGGTTCCCTCACAAACCCTTACGGCTGCTTCCAAGGAATGGATCTTAAACTCCGAGACAACAACACGTTTCACCTCTGATATCAACCAGCACCAACCAGCCATTCCTTACTCCGGCATTCCAAGGAATGGATCTTGGACTCCGAGGCAACAACACATTTCACCTCTGATATCAACCAGCACCAACCCTCCATTCCTTACTCCAGCATTGATCATGTCATAGTTGGCAATGGGCAAGCTGTCCCCATTCAACACAAAGGCAACGACACCATCCCTAGCCCCAATCTTAAGATTAAACTATTACAAATTCAACATACACCTTTACTCTCTCACAACTTACTCTCCAATCATAAACTCACTAAAGATAACAATCTTATTGTTTCATTAGATTTCTCTGAATAACAATCTTATTGTTTCATTAGATTTCTCTGAATTTTTCATTTCTGATTCACAAACTCAACAGTCAATTCTTCAGAGACCCAGCCCTAACGTTCTCTACTCCATTCCCTACTCAACACATCAACCACAAGTCTTCGCTACCTCCCTCTCCAAGTCACAATGATCGGATCTCTGGTATGGAAGGTTGGGACATACCCATTCTGACATTATCTCTGCTATCTCCCAACAACATTCTCTATATATACCATCTACTAATAAGTTTTGTAGCACTTGCAGTATTACTAAAATTCACAAACCATTTGTATCATCAATAGGACACAAATACAAATTTCTTGAGCTCATTCATAGTGAAGTATGGGGTCCATCCCCAATTCCATCTTACAATGGCTATATATACTATGCTACATTTGTTGATGACTTCTCTACATTTTGTTGGGTGTTTCTTATGCATACTAAATCTCAAACTACTCAAATCACCCGAACCTTTATTAGCCTGCTTCAAAACTAATTCAACGACAAATATAAGATCCTAGGTTCCGATGGTGGACGAGAATATAATAACCATGAACTCAACCAATTTCTACTAATCAAGGTATTCTACATCAATACACATGCCCCTATATCCCCGATTAAAATGGAGTGACTGAACGGAAACACTACCATCTTATGGACACCACAAGAGCCTTACTGCATAAAGCTCGTGCGCCATATAATTTCTAGAACGATGGACTTCTCACAGCTGTTCACCTTATAAATCGAATGCCCACTAGAACTACTCGTCACATTTCCCCTTACGAACACCTTCATAAATCCCCGCCACAATATGATCACCTCCGCATTTTCGGCTGTGCATGCTATTCATGGAGAAAAACCTCAAACAACAAACAAACTTGAACCCCAATTCAATGCAATGCATATTCTTGGGTTACTTTCTACATCATAAGGGCTACAATTATTACAATCCCACTACTAAGAAATTCATAATCTCCCAACACATTCTGTTTGATGAAAACACCTTCCCCGTCACCAAACAGCCCCTATGAAAAAATCACACCAACCTACCAACTCTACCATTAATCCTCCATTCTTTTTCCAACCTACATCATCCCTTCAGCCCATATCACCCAAGCAAATTCCTTCCAACTCTACTACAGCTTCTCAAGAAACCGAACCTTGTAACCTCCCTGTCTCACCTCAACCACAACAACAAACCTCCACAATCAATCCTCCACATCCTATGATAACCAGATCCAAAACCTGGCTCTGATACCATTAAAGAGGAATGAATCCTCTTGGAACAGATTTACACAGAAAGCTTTCAGTAGAATATCAGAGAAGAAGGTAAACTGTAAAATGCTTTTCTTACTTTAGTTTTACCTACAGATGACAATATATATCAATATGCAGAAAGTTCTAGAAAGACTGAAAAGGATAAGGTTAGTTATGTTATATGCATATATTCCCTTGGGGACCACCATTATTAAATGATTTTTGATAGTGGTGGTTGATTCTTTCTAATACTCTTCATTCTCTTTTATTCTGGACCCCTAACCTACCTACGGCATCGCTTTCATATAGGAGAACAGAAGGCAGAAAAGTTTTCATATAAAATCATGGATTTAAACTTGCATTAATTATGAAAAGTGATACTAACATGCCCCCTAATCAACCTACTTCATCCCATCATTTAGAATAACACCAATTACAGAAGCTAATAAAGTTTTCATATGAACCCATGTAGTTAAAACTTGCATTAGCAACGAAAAGATGGCATTAAGATGAAACAATTGGGGCAAGTTAGCAATTGAGTTGCTAAGAACATGGTTTTCAGCAAAGCAACCTTCTTAAAAACTTTTTGAACACCCCTTAGCATAAAATTTTCTTTAGAGCTTTTAAGCTCTTATCAACCTCCTCTGATACCTCTAGATTTCATGGATTCCTTTCAAGCAGGGAATTCCCTGAGGACTTATGGTTCAACTTTCATCATACATTAAGATCTACGTGTAAGATATGATGGATGAAGACAAAACTGCCAAAGGAATACAAAAAAAATTAGGGAAATTTACATAAATACCATACAATTCTTAAGTATTTACACATCTAACACCCAAACTTTGATATTTATGCTTAAAGCGCATTGGTGTCATAAAATTATGCATAAAAATGTGTATTTCACTTTTAAAAAGGTATCATGTCACATATTTGAGTGGTATGTATGAAAATGTAAATGTTCAGATGCTAGATATATAAATACATAAGATTTGTGTGGTAAGTATGCAAATGCCCCAAACTTTTATCCTCCCAGCAAAACTGAAAGAGTCAAATGGGCACTTAAATTTCTGGAATTACTTCAAAAAGAATTGATAAACACTAGGGAACTAACTTTCCAGAAGAATACACGTATATAACAACTAAGACACCTATATGTAAAAGGGACAGCGTTAGTTAACTTACATACAACTCATATGTGATTGTGCCTACAGAAACAATGCTACAAGAAAGTCAAGTGCTTCACAAATGAGGCAATCACTTAAGGTCATGAACAGAACAAATTGCATCAATATTGCTCTGATGCTACGATTATGGCTGCCTAGAAATCCTGATAAAATATACGGGCATTTACATATATAACACCCAATTATAATGTATTTACATAGACAATACCTAAATTTTACTTTTTACATTTATACCGCCCTAATCTTTCACATCACATAAAAAATACTACTATTTTAACTTTTAAAATGTAAAATACACAATTTTATACATAGGCAAGGTGGCATAAATGTAAAAATTGAAGTGTGGGTGTTAGATATGTAAATGCATAGGAATTCAGTGGTATATTCTTCCTAAAATATAACTATAGCGAAGGGTGAGGTGCATAATTTGAAATAATAAAAGAAGACAAAGCGAAGAGACTATTTGCATTTATAAAAATAATTGCTGAAGTGTTTACATCTGCCAGACAAAAAAAAAAGGAAAACCTTGTGATTTATTTGCTCTTGAAATGAGAACAATCTTCCATATGCCATATCCTGGGAGAAAGAAAGTACCATATTTATCATTTCATTTCATAAATGAGGAATATTATTCAATAAGAAATCATATGATGAAAAAAATATCCAACATTAAATCTTTGTAGGATAAAGAAAAAAGATCTACCGTGGATTATACGAAAAATACTGCATCAGTAATTTTATTGGCTAAATTTAAGAGGAATAAAAGAAGAAAAACTATGTTAACCGTATCATTCCAATATTGAGACAGCTTATAATGTACATGTGCAAGGACTCTCTTACTGTTCATTTTACAAGGAAATAAATTAGACCGGTAGCTCCTCCACCAAATTAATAAGCTCGGTGCCTAAGCTGTTTCCATGTTCCCATAGCCAAATGACATCATATGATTAGTTCCAAAAGCCAAAATGGGAAAAAAAAAAAGAATTTTTTTGAGCATGCATAGCAACGAGAAAACAAGTGGACGGCAAGTAAGCTCCTGTTAAGTCTCATTTTCAGTGATTTCTCCACTTTTTCTTTCCTCCACTTCTCAATTTCTCCGCTCTATGCTTCTCAGTGTTTAATCTTCATACACACTGTCTCTTACTTCCTGCTATCTTATCTCTCTACCTCTACTTGGTCTCACAATCTCATGATTGTTCTTTTTTTTTTCAATTTTAGTGGATTATTTCATCACATAATTCATTATATGTTGTTTTTTTCCTTCTAAATAGCAGAAAATTATCATTATTGAGCATATTAGTATATTTACTAAATCAATTATCTAATATGATTTATGTTTGGTTAACTAAATGATTTTTAAGTAATTAATGTTCTAGTTAGTTAAAATAACCATTCGTTTTATACTTTGAATAATGAAGCAAAATAAAAGTTTGCGTAAATCGTATTGCACGTAGCAACTTGAAAACATTTTTTAAATTTAATTACATTATTTTAGTTTATTAAATTTCAATAAATTATTATTTCAAGTCGATTATGAGTTGAAACAAACAAACGAATTCGAATCGAGCCGGACATGAACATGTTATTCATGGGCCATTTCAAACACGAGCTTATTTCGAACCAAATAAAATTTGAACGGGCCGAACACGAATAAATAGTGGGCTCACTGAAACTCGGCTCGTTTACACCCCCGGCCGCAATAGACTAATACAATGCATTGACTTGTGTAATGTATACTGAGACCAAATAATGTCAATAAAGTTTGCCAAGTTATTAGGATTGCATTTGCATAAAGACTTTAAAGACATTTATGATGAAGATTTGTTAACCAGCCTTCAGGTTGCCCTACCTTTAAAGTTAAGTCGCGTCATGTTGTTGGCTACTCCCTTTTTAAAGTCATAATCCCAAGCTTTGGGCTTCCCTCATCGTCATGGTTATGTCTTATTATTGGACCTTTAATAGAAAGTAAGCAATATAACTTTTGACCAACCCGACAGCATCGACATAATAAAGCCAATAAACAAATTCTTCAAGCTAAAGCTCCCATGCTTTTGCAGGCTAATCTACCGACCCTAGGTCAGTCTCTTGCTAATAAGCCAAAACTAATATAACATTCAAAAATTTTCATGCCACAAACCCTGATTTTTTTCAAAATCTATGAGCGTTCTGTCAATATCTAAGTTCCATTTTTTAAAATCATCCAATTGACAGGATTATCTGTTTAGATCATAAGTTCTCAACTTTGAGAAATATTACATCATAAATTCCCAATTTTGGGCTAGCTTATCGCGTAGGTTAATATTTTTGAACTTGCTTATGTAGTAATTTCTCATGTTCAAATCGATCTACTGGGGGAATGCATGAGAATCACCGAGCAAAACTCCACTCAGCTCCATGTTGCAATCTCCTCTACAAAGTTTGTTGGAATTATGATATGCTTTGGACTCAAAATCAGCAAGCAACAACAGCAAAACAATGATAGATAGGTGGAAACAAGTCAAATAAGAGCTGCTCTTACGAAAAAGAAATGCAAATAAGCGAGATACAACGGTGGTCGACTTTTCGAGAGGTAGATCGGCTCTCTCACAACCATAGACGTCGCTAGGAACACCACCAAAAGGAAAAAACACAGCAACCATGTTGACCTCATTTTTGAGGTCATTTCCTTTTCTAGGGTCTTAGAATCTAGCTCTAGGAGCTCCTATTGACCATCTTAGAAAACTACAATTGAGACTCACCCTCTTTAGAAATTTCAGCCACTTCCTATTTTTCTTTGATGTATAACATTTATGGCACAAGACCATCGTGTTATGAACGAGCGGTTATGGGTTATTTTGTGAAAACTCAAGGGAAAAGTTTCTAATAGGACTCCAAGCCTTAGAAAAACATCTCACTACTTTTTCGTCACATACACACACCAAATGCACAAAATTCACAAAATTGCACGAAATCGGACTTCAATTAAGCCCAGAGGAAGGATGAAAATGTAAACTTCTCCAGATGACCTCCGACGACAAATTGGACTACGCCAACGTGTCCGAGACACCAATTTTGATAGGAAGAAACACCCATATTGTCATATTTTCGGCACGAGGAAATTGGCACATAAATCGATGAATTTGTCAAAACGACTTCCGACGACAAAACAGACAGCGCCGGTGCGTCCGGAATGTCGAAATTACCTAGGGAGGACACCAATTTTTGTTAGGGCGCCGCACATGGATAAATCATATGAAATTCGATATATATATATATATATATAATTCTGTTTTATGTTTTTTTTCTCTCCTTTTAAAACCTAAATCCCTAAATCCTCCCTTCACGTCCGCAAAACCGACGGCCCGAGCCCTCCTTCGCGTTCGCGAGGCCGGCCCGAGTCTCCTTCGTCTCCGACCGCGAACCCTAGCCGAGCCGACAGGGACGATCCCCAAGAATCGG